GAGGGCCTCCCGAGGGCCCGCGAGGGCGAGGCAGGCGACCGGGCGCCTGGCGGCCGGGAGGGCGCCGCGTGCGCCGCGGGCGCAGGTGCCCAACAGGGGCCCTCTAATTAGGGGCACCCTTCGGGGCTCCTGTTTTGGGAACCCTCTGGCTCCAGACGGGGCCCTCGGCTGCCCCTGTGGGGCCCTCGTCTTCCCCCCCCACCTGGGCCACCACCCCTTACCACCCGCCCGACGCGGGCGCAGGTCAACCACGCCTACTCGGACAGCAACTGCGCCGAGGCGGCGAAGCACGCCGAGGAGCGGCGCCGTCGGCGCTTCGCTGCCGCCGCTCGTGGGCGTGCCTCCGTCGCGCGTCCGTCGTGCGTCCGTCCGTCGCCCGTCTGTCCGTCTGTCCGTCCTCTGCGCGTCCGTCCTTGGCATCGCTCGGACGTGTGCGTTTTGCCTCGACGAGGACCATCGAGGAGCATCTTTGGTCATCTAGCGGGAGCTGCAGGCGCGAAATCGAAAACTGCACGGGGAATGGACGTCCGAGCGATGGCCGGCGTCGGTCCGTCGCCTGTCGTTGTCGACCGTCGCCGTCGTCTGTCGTCGTACCCACTCGATCGCCGTCGTGTGTCGTCGTGGCCTGTCGATCGTCGTCGTCTGTCGTCGACGTCTGTCGCCGTCATTTGCCATCGTCGTCTGTCGCCTTCGTCGTGGTCGTCGCCTCCTCGCTTTCGTCTGTCGTCGTCGTCGTCGGCGACGGCGTCGGCGTCGTCTGCCATCGTCGTCTGTTGTCGTCGTCGTCTCCTTCGTCGTCGTCGTCGTCGTCGTCGTCGTCGTCGCGGTCCATCCTCGCGCCCATCCTCCACGTTCTCCGCCGCATACTCGTGGGAACGGCCAGGGACCCAGAGGTCCGCCAAGGACGTTTTGGATGGAGCCTTGAACGAATAGTTCGTTGGTGGTTCACCTTTTCATCCTGCCGCCTCTTTCTCCGCTCCCTATCCTACTTCTGATCCCGCTCCTTCCCCGTCTGCTGCTGCTCGTTCTACTCCCCTCACTCCTTGTCTCTCCCTTTGCCATTCCCCCTCCTCCTCGTCCTCCTCCTTCTCCTCTTTCCTCCCCCTCCCCTCTTGTTCCCGTACGACGTAAGAAGTCGAACTGCACCTGGAAGCAAAATGCAGCTCGTCCTCGTGTATATCCAATTCTTCTCCTCCCCCGTCGTCTTCCTGCCTCTTGTCCTCACCGCTGGTCCGCGGCTGGACTCCACAGCTTGCTGGGCAACTGGTGCGCCGGTGCGCCCCAGATGCTGCTGCCTCCCGCTCCCGCGGGTGAGCGGGCCTTTGTCCCCGCCAGGACTTCACGGGCCTCTGGCAGGCCTCCTCCTGCGAGGGCACACCACGGCGCTGCGGATGCTCCTGCCCCGTGGCACCGGGCAGACGAGGATGAAGAGCAGCCGCCGGGCAGCCCTGGGTTCGCGTGCCTCCCGGCGGCGCCAGGGCGGGTCCACGCGTGCGCTCGTGCTCCTCGCCTGTGCACCTGCCTGCGCGTGCGGCCGCCAGGCGTGGGATGCCCTCGCGGAGCGGAGTTGTCTCGGTGTCGGCTGCAAGTGCCAGTGCACATCCGGCGCTGGATTCGGTGGGGGAGGTTGCCAGCTCCAGCCTTCGTCCCATGACAAGGCGGGAGACGGCACCACGTCCAAGGGAGGGCGATGGCGCAGGTCGGCTCGCCTGCCAGCCCCCGCTCCTGCGGGGACTGTCTCTGATCCACCACCTGCGGGAACTGTGGACGTTGCCTCCTTCCCTGTCCCCATGCCTGGGGTCTCTGCCGCTAGCTCGGGCGTGTCCGCCAGTCGGATCGTTCACGCGCTGGTCGCTTCCAGCGTTCTCTGCGCCGTACAGCTTTGCTCGCCTGACCCAACCCCTTGGATGGCGCGCGCGGTTTGAGCAGTCAAGATTTCTGCGCCACCCAAGGCTTTAAAGGTTTGGAAGGGCATGCGACCGATGCTTCCAGCAGTTAACGGAGTGGCGTCCCCTGTTCAAGCCTGACCGCAGATCCTGGTCCAGGCGGGTCGTTTGCAGCGACGGCACCCATGATTTTTTCAAGGCCAACTTTGTAGCAGCAAGTCTCCTTATGCTGGAGCATGATGCTATTGCTGCCTCCTTAGACCTCGGAGCTCGGCTCTCACGGCATCTCAGGCAGAACGGCCTTGCCAGGCTGACCGTGATTCGCGTTTTTGGGAGGCTGCGTTTGTCAAGCTCAAGCTGCTGCTGAAACTTTTGCTTGTAGCACCTATTATTTTTGATGGTGTGCACGAACTTATCAGTGAGCTGCAGCAGGTGTCAAAGCAGGGCCCAGGAAGATTCTTGAAGGCCGCGGATCGCTGGAGGCCAGAGTTTGCCACGCGCACCCCTATCGATATTTTTCTCCACGCTGGGGGAAGTTCGGTCCATTATTCCGCCATCGCCCCGCCCCCTCCTCCCCTTCCTCTCTTTCTCCCCCTTCCCCCCTCCTTCCGCCTCCTTCTCCTCCTCATCCTCATCCTCTTCCTCATTCTCATCCTTATCCTCATCTTCATCCTCCCGCTCTTCCTCCTCCTTCTCCTTCTCCTCCTCCTCCCACTCCTTCCTCTCTCCCTCCTCCTCTTCCTCCTCCTCCTCCTCCTCGCCATCCTCCCGCCTCCTCTCCTCCTCCCCTTCCTCCTCCTCTCCTCCTCCTCCTCTGCCTCCTCCTCCTCCTCATCCTCCTCCTCCTCCTCCTCCTCCTCCTCCTCCTCCTCCTCCTCCTCCTCCCCCTCTCCCATCGTCTGCTGGTACATGGGAGACAGGCCTTCCAATGCCAGAGAACGCCCACGCACCATGAGTGGCCAATGCGCCGCCCGGCGCGCGTCGAGGCGTGGTGGCGTGGGCCCTCTTCGGGGGCCCTTGGAGCCGCCATAGCCGGCCATCTCCGGGGCCGCCTCGGGGGGGCCGCGGTGCGCCGCCCCTCGTGGCGGCCCGGGGTGGCACTCCTTCCTCCCCCTCCCTCCACCTCCCCCTCCTCCCCTCACAATTACACATATTAAGATACTCTCCCACTTACCTCTCCCACTTCCCCTGAGGCTCCGTAAGTATTCGGCACCCCCCCGCGTACTGTGTTTTTACACACAGGATTCCCGGGAAACGGGTTTTCGCCTGCGTGTTTTTCAAAATGCTGCTCTCGATGAGGCGCCGGCCTCATTTCTGCTCCCGAATCGTTCCGAATCGTGCTCCCGCTGCAGCGTGGGCCTCATTTTCGGATCGGTGTTTGGCCTCCGTCGTTCAGGATGGCGTTCTCGCCCCAGCGCGGGCCTCTTTCCTGCGCGCCCATCCGCCCGCCACCACCGCGCCGCACCACCACAACCACCACCACCACCACCACCACCACCACCACAACCACCACACCACCAAACACCACCCAACACCACCACCACCACACCCCGACCACCAGCCACCACCATCAAACCAGCACATCACACCACTTCACGCTAGCACCAACACCACCACCAGCACCATCCCAGCCCCAGCACCAGCACCACCACCACAACCACCACCACCACCACCCACCACCCCAACACCACAACCACCAGCACCAGCACCACCACCACCACACCACAACCACGCACACACGCACGCACGCACGCACGCACGTGCACCACCACCCACTACGCACGCGCGCGCGGAGCCACAGGTCCGCTACGACACGCGTCCGCGGATAGAGAAAATCAGCGCCATGGTAGGGATGGGAGGGAGGGGTAGGACGTCAGATATGACGCGAGCGCACCTAGTTTGTCCTCCTCCTCCTCCTCCTCCTCCTCCTCCTCCTCCTACCTCCTCCTCCTCCTTCCTCCCCTCCTCCTCCTCCTCCTCATCTCCTCCTCCTCCTCCTCCTCCCTCCTCCGACTCCCCCCTCCTCCTCCTCCTCCTCCTCCTCCTCCTCCTCCTCCTCCTCCTCCTCTCTCTCCTCCTCACTCCTCCTCCTCCTCCTCCTCCTCCTCCTCCTCCTCCTCCTCCTCCTCCTCCCCCTCTCCCTCGTCTGCTTGTACATGGGAGACAGGCCTTCCTGGGGGCATCTTGGAGGCGGAGGTCGGCCACGCGCAGAGGGGGGTGCAGTCGAAACCGATGGCAAGAATTAACCTTCCCAAGGGTGCCCTCGCATCCCTGCCTCTCAGGTCCGTCCTTGACTACTTTCGATGGCCCGCCGCGCTCGAACGGGCGTCGGGCACGGGCGTCCACGGGGCGTGCATCCTCGCGCACCCTTGCTGTCAGTTTTGACTGTGGGGGGAGGGAGGAAAAGCTCCTCAGAAGCACCCCTGCTTCTCAGAAGGCGCCGGCCTTGTCTGTAGATGTGAGGCCGGCGCTTTCTAAGAAGCAGCCTCCGTCTAAGAAGCCTTCCCCCCTCCCTCTAACCCCCTTGCGCGCGCGCCCAAGAAAGGCCCAGACCCCCTCGCGTCGTGGACAAAATTCTGAAGGGAGGTATTTTGCCATTTTCGGCCTCTGGGGGCCCTGGTGTCCGGCCTCGGGACCGTCAGAGAAGGGCTCGCGATGGAAAGCCGGGCGCTGGGAGTGGGTCCAGACCTCCCTGGGTCGACGCTGTGAAGCGAGCGGCGTGACGTTGGGGGGGTCTGGGAACGCAGCCCCTCGATGCACTGAACTTTGCAGCGCGTGGTCCTCGGAGGTCCCGAGCCTCTTCCCACTCTTCGGCCCCAGGGCCCAGCTTGAGGCCCTGGCGTTGCAGTTTCTGCACAGCCGGCTTCTGCGCTGCACTTCGGGCCCCGGGACCCTCACGGACCGATCCCGCTCGAACGAAAACGGCGCAACGTGATGGAGTCTCGGATGTCGTTTTTTTCCCTCTCTCTCTCTCTCTCTCTCCCTTTTTCTCTTTTCTTTTCTTATTCGACGTTGCATTTCTTCCAACGTCGGCTCCCAGGGCCCAGCCAGGGGCCTCGGAGGCCGAGCGCGGAGAGGAGCCGCCGCGTCGAGGCTCCTCCGTGCGGCCGCGCCTCGCGGCCACGTGGCCGCCGCCGGCCGCGCCTCCCGGCCCGAGAGCCTGGCGGCCGCGCCGCCCCGGCCGCCGTCCTCCATCCTCGGGAGCGGAGCCCTCGGCCGCCTCCTCGCTCCGTCTCCCTCGCGCTCCCTCCTCTGCCCTTCCCTTGTGCCATTCTCCTCCCTCCCTCTCCTTCGCCTTCGCCTTCACGACCCTCCCTCCCCTTCCCTCCCTCCCTCCCTCCCCTTCCATTCTCCTCCCTCCTTCTCCGTCTGCCTCCTCCCTCTCCTTCGGCGCCCTTCCCTTCCCTCCCG